TATTCCCTGGAATTTGTGCAATTGCCGGATTCGGGTGGGAGTCAGCTTTGGCAAGCAGCATCGGGTATATCTTCTTTAGTTCGTCTTCTACCGATGTCAACGATATTTCATGATGGAGCTGTTCATTCCTTACGAACCNTCACTATTCACTTATAACTACACAAGTTCATATGGCTTTGTTCTTTTTAATCTTCTGATCGTGTTTCGGTAATGTAAGAGTTTAGTTGCTTCCACATTCTTGGAAAGTCATGCTCGTACAGAATGTAAAAGAGGGGTCCCAGAACACTTCCTTGAGGAACACCCGCTGAGATGTTGTGTACTTCAGAGTCCGCTCCTTTTTAGCTGACAGAAGCTTTGGAAATATTAGTCGCTCGAGGATCTTCGATAGTGCAGCATAGCAACTTATTTGCATAGCAAACTTATTGGTCGATAACTGGTCGGTATATCCCATTCTTTTTTGGCTTTATTTATAGGTATCACTGTAGCAATTTTCCATTTTTTTGGAAAGTATGCCGTTCGAAGGATGCCATTGTATATTTGTGTTAACAGTACGAGACATTTTCTAGGCATATGTATCAATAGTGGCCTTACGATCATGTCCATACCTGGTGCTTTTTTTGTTTTAATTTTCTGAATTACACGGTGAACCTGAGAACTGTGAGATGGAGTGAATAAATCATAAAACGGTGACAATTGCAAGGGAGCTTGAAGAGATTCCTGTACCATTTCCGTTGTTTGAGGATTGTCAATGACATTTGGCTGAAACTGCTCTCTGAAAAGATGCCCGAAAATTTTAACTTTTTCCTCAGGACTGGTCGCCCAGCCAGCTTGAGTTTTAAGAGGAGGTATATTGGAGGATTCTTTTGTTACATATTTCATTTTCCTCCATAATGATCCATCTTGTGTGTCTAGCTTAGCAAATTCCATTTCCCTGTAGAGCGCCTTTTCCTCCAGTAATGCATTCTTAAGATCTTCAGTGGCTTTGTTTAACAATTTTTTGCCAAGTGGAGATCTAGTATTCATATAACGAGTTCAGGCACGCTTCTTCGTTTCATGAAGACATCTGATATTAAAAGAGAAATGCTCTTGATTTATCTTTATTTATTTTTTTGATTGCATGCGGATTTTGCATTTCTACGTAAGAGCTAACAAGCTAATTAGATTTTTTTTATTTGGTAAACTTTTTATTGGTCGTAATTTAAAAAAATGCAAGGAATACTTATATTTTACCGAATGTGTTATGTTTGTTGTTGAATATGGAAACTTTTTTTTAACTAAAACAAGTAAGAATTTATTGAAAATGCAAATGAATGTTCATGAGCAAAATAAAAACAAAGATTATAACTTCCATATATGACTTGTATTGAACCTGTGAACGATCCCACTTTGGAAGCGAAATACAAATAGTGTTACGCTGCATGGAAGCATAATCTATTTTCAAACATCATTTTAGCAATTGTATACCGTTTTAAATTCTATAAATACACATAAACAAAACTTTATGTTGGCCAGTTGGCAAGAATTCATTCATCCGAGTGTGTAAAGAAGGTTGTTGGCCCTGCTCCAGCTAGGCGGGGAGTGGTAAAATATCCCGCGGAGCGTGCCTTCTTGGAGGCCAAGGCCCCACCACTGGAATGCTACTGGTGAAAGTCTCGTTGCCCCCTTCTCCAATGGATGTCCGACAGGATCCAGGATCATGGCCAGTAGGTCATCTCCGGGAGAAAGTATTGTAGGAAAGAAGATTTTATACAGTCTTTCACTTCCCCACCAAAATTGAAATGACTTTTTTTTCACAGGCTTGTGACAAAGATTCCAACAGCCTACTAACGAAATCTAAAAACAATTACAATATTTAATTGAACTATTTTAATTATGGCCTTTCGGCTGTAACCAACCGATAAAATTAAAAAAAAAAATTTTAACTGGAAAGTTCAACATGGCATAGTTTTAAGCCCAATATTGTTGTTTACATGTTATTTATCGTTTAGATTTACTTATTACTTTGTAATAATATAGAAAAGTGAGATCATTTAGATAGATATAAATGTTAGAATTTAAATAAAAAAAACAAATACAACAAAAATTAGGAATATCTGTCTGTCCGAAGGGTTTAAGGCTCCCATCAATAATTACTCTCTGAATACTACAAATTTTTATCTTGAAACATTTTTATTCAATCAATTTATTAATAGTAAACGTTGTGAATAATTATTCAATTTTCATGACATAATTAACACAATTAATTCACAATAAAATTAATTATTATTTATGGGTATTTTTGTAGTCATATTGTTATTTTTTTATATAGTAAGGGGAGAGATAGACAAACATAACCAACAAGAGAACAAAGAAAAGATAAAAGGGACGAACAAAGATAAAAAGATATATAGAAAGAAATATGTAAAATAAAACAGAAGAATAAAGGGGGAGAGAGATTCTGTAGTCAAAATGATATATAAGTATGAGGAAGAAAAAAAAGAAGGGGAAGAGACAGTGGGAGAGAGAGAAGATGAAAACAGCGGAAAGAGATACCTAGACAGACAGTGAGTGAAAAAAAGGAAAAACAGAGAAACAGGTAGAAAGAAAGAAATACGGAAAATAAAGTTGAGAAAAATAGGTAGCGATCGGGCTATCTAGACAAAAATCATTACATACTTAGATAAGTAGATAGTTCGAGGAAAAGAAGTGAAATACAAATGAAGAAGACTAGACAAATATCGCCCAGAAAGGAATGGACAGGGAGATAAGAAAAGATAGATTGAAAGAAATATGGAATACAAATATTAGGAAATAGAGAGCAATGTGGATAGTTTAAAAACTTCTATAAAAAATAGATCGATAGTTTGAGAGAGAGAGAGAGAGAGAGAGAGAGAGAGAGAGAGAGAGAGAGAGGAGTAAAATAAAATTCTTCACTTATTGAAACAGAGAACTATGAACTACTTACAGTTGCAGGAAAACATCGTGAAAACTTGTATACATATTATGAAGAGGAAAAAACTGGATTGCAAAGTATCCACTATAACTCTTACAACAAAAATAGTGATATTAATTTTTTTTTTTTAATTAAATTTATTTATTAAAACTGGTCTTATTAGACCAACCATTAATTTTACAATAATATTATACAATAAATAAATGTTTACATTCTTATAAACCCATTGGTACAATAAGATTTACATTTCACTATTCACTATTCACTTATAACTACACAAGTTCATATGGCTTTGTTCTTTTTAATCTTCTGATCGTGTTTCGGTAATGTAAGAGTTTAGTTGCTTCCACATTCTCGTGCTGGCTGAGGCGAGCCTGGTGTTTGGCGGCAAATCTTTGTATTTCCGCCGTGACTNGGAGCTTGGCTATGAAACTTTGCCTCACCCACCCTACTCTCCGGACCTCTCGCCTACTGACTACCATTTTTTTAGACACCTGGACCACTACTTACAACACATAATATTCAAAAATCAAACGGAACTGGAAAATGCATTTATTGACTTTATCAATTCTAAAAATTCTGAATTCTACTCAGACGGAATTAATAAGTTACCAACACGTTGGGAGAAATGTATTGAGAGTATGGGAAATTATTTTGATTAAAGAACATTGCTTTAAAGTAACTAGTTTCTTTTTTTTTGTTTAATACCAAAATCCTGCATTATTTTCCGGACAACCCAATATTTATATTAGGAGTACATACTTGAAAGATATTCTTTTAGGGATTTTTTATACGAGAGAGAGATAGAGAGAGAGAGAGAGAGAGAGAGAGAGAGAGAGAAAGAGAGAGAGTGAAAAGAGAGGAGACGAGAGAGATTGATGAATAATAGATAGATAGAAATTTGATAGATGGATAGAAAGATGGATAGGTAGATAGAGAAATAGATGGATGGAAAGATAGGTAGGTAGGTAGAGAGAGAGAGAGAGAGAGAGAATGAATGATGCATTTGTATTTGTGAAAAAAAGTGAAAAAAAACCCAATACAGACAAACACAATGGAAACAGTGACTGAGTTGGACAATGCTAAAAGTAGGTAATAAAAAGGGAGATAATGTTTTAATTAATTAAAATATGGCAATGTTTTTTAAGGGCATATGCTTAGCTTAAATGCTATTTTAATAATGCTAGAATGTGACCGATGATGATGTGACCGAAGCTACGAGGAGAATTATACCAGGGAGGTTTGGTTGGTACCCCAAGCTCTCCTGTTTTAAGGCTTGTTGTGTTTTTCCTAGTCCAGTTGAATCGATGAGATCTTTCTGTGAAGAAGTAGAAGGTGTGTTGTATTGTAGAAGGTATAAAAGGGTGTTATTGCCATCATTCTTTTCCCTGTCTTCTTCTCCACTAAGCTGTTGTTTTGCTTTCGAACATAATATGAATGGTAGGTTCTTCATCCTCATTGAATGGCCTAGAGATGAGATCATTATGCAATATACCCTTGTTGTGCCTTTTGTGAGTTAACTACTTTAGTTGTAACAATGTGTGTGCTAGTTTTGTCGAAATTTCTTCAACCATGGGTTGGTTACCCCTATCGTTTGTCCATTGCTATTTTTGTTTTATGTACTATTATGAAATTCACGATGTTTATCTTGTTGCCCATATATATTGGGTATTACGGGTATTCGGTGGTAAGCTTGATTATGCCCTTGGTATAGGTTAGCTCGTAACCTTGCTAGACAACTCCACTCACCAGATTGTCTACTTTTTCATTACCCAGAACCCATTTGTGTCTTGGCACCCAAGATATTGTCTTGTTTTTGCGTTTCCCTAGGTTTGATATGCATCCGACTATTTTGAATGTACGTGTTAATACTTTTAGAAGCAAATGTAATATATACACGCATAATAATTGTTTTTGCATGTTCAACATTATAGTTTTATTGTAATTGTGTTTATTAACATTTTTTCAGCGGCATAAGCTAACAAAAATGTTAATGAGAAATAAAAAACTGCGTTTTCTAAGAGGTATGAAAAAGTGAAACACTGAAGTTGGATAAAAGAAAGGGTTTAATAAATAATTTGTGTTTGTTATAAAAAAATAAATACTTTGGTACATTTTAATACTGGGTAAAACTTCCGTAATTAGATGATCCTTATCGATATCCGTATCTGTAGTCGTCGTGTCTTGAGATGTCGTCGGCCCGCCTGTAATCGGTGTAGTAGTCGGTGACGAGCGCATGGTGCGGATGGGCCGGCGGAAGCTGGACGATCCTCGGCGGTGGGATGAGACCCCTGACAGCGAGGGCAGCTGCGACTGCCAGGGCCGTCATCCCTGACCAGAGACCCTTGAAAGCTACCAAGGCGACGATGCCGAACAGGGCTGGCACCGTGACTCCTGCCTTAAGTTTCAGCAGTAACAGCAGCGGAAGGGCGAGCCTGCGAAGGAGGCCCTTTTTCAGTCGACCTCTCCCTGAAAAAAAAATTTACGACAAACGTCAAAATCCATATTTTGAAAGTAGCTTGATTTTTAAACTGATCTTGCTGCGTTGCTTACTGCTAGAACACACAAAGAATTTTTAGAAACGTCTATTAATCAAAAGAATCAACTGAATAAGAAAAAATAATTTATTTAAATATTCATTGTGTTTCTAAAAAAGACTAGAAACACTGATCAATGGCCTAGATTAGTTTTTCTGTGTCATAGATGAGAAAGGCCTTTTATTCCTTTGATCATCACACGACCCAGTAGCCTTGAAAGATTAATGGCTCATCAGAGCCGTTGTATTGGAATTCAAATGTTTTCGTTTCTAACCTGGCATATTTGTTTTATGAAACTTGTTATGGGTTTAAAAATAAATTTTTACATTTAACGCAAATAGTCGATTGTTTTGTAAATTTTGCAAACAAACCTTAGATGAAAAAATATCCCGAAGCACTGTTTTCAAACGAAAAATACAGATATTAAGGTGTTTCTTTATTTTTAATTTTGCCCAAAGGCCAGGAAAATGACAAAAAAATGAATTTCTGTCTTTTATCGTCAGAATGGTAGGTGAAGCTGAAAAAGTGGCCCATTTTGAAAGTGGGACAGGTTGAGGACCAGTCCAGGAGGGAGAGAGAACGATGCATATAAATGCTGAGCTTTCTGTAGGAAATCGCCATTCGTTCGTCAACACTTTGCGGACTCACTGAAGGATTTTATCTTGGATTATAAAGTTCAATAATTCGTAGAATTATTTATAATTGGGATATTTTTATCAATAATCTCTGTATTTGTGTAGAAATAAAACAAAATAGTTTCACAGTAGCCTTGTAAAATATAACTTCATTTTGTTTATCAATACGATTTTCTTTTGAAAAACCGCATTGCCATTTCACAAGGAAATTTTCTAATGTAAATTTTGTTCCTCTGTATTGTGATACTGTAAAATAAAGCATCATTTTTGTACTAATTAGGTTTCCTTTCCGTTGTATTGTAGTTGTAAAAACCTAGTTGACATTTCATACAGACAATTTTGCTAATCAGATCTTTTATGTAGATTTTGCTGTGGAAAACAATGTTGAACCCCTCAAAATCACAACATATCACCTTTACTTTCGGTCGTACACGTACGATAAACTTAATCCGACAAAGTTAACAATATAAGACTTTGGTAGGAGACTAACCTCGAATCCACACACACGATTGAAAAAGCAGACACTTAACAAACGATTTGAAATGCTTTATTAACTACTGAACCGACAATTAAAATTTCCATTAAAATCAAAATTGTTGACATATACATACTTACTCAAACGTATTTGGATGTACACCAGCCAAGGTTACGGATGGGCCAAATATTCCAATATTCAAAGATTACACATTTTTCAAGCTATGATTTCACGACTAATTGTTTTTGCCCCTTCTTATACAAAAATACGCACTACACAGATATCTCTTTACATGCCAATTGTTTTTACATCTATCAAAACCTATTACAAACGTTTTCACAGTAAATTGCAATATCACATTAACACACAAATATACAACAATTACTCTATGCCTCACAATTACACCGTCGACGGCTGAAAAGTGGATAAAACTTCATAGATGACTAATCAAGAACAGCAGCCAATGGTATGATGTAGATCCCTCTATAATGCCGATGTCAAAATTAATTCTAGCCTGTTTTTTTTTTTTTTTTTTGCGAACAATAATTTTATATTATTACTGCCCATGGACTTCTTGTATTATTTAATTGTTCTTTAATTGCCTTTTTAATTATTAATATTTTATTTTTATTTACATTTTTTTTTTGTCAAGTCCCAAGGAAGACCACTTAGTTCCACAGGGGTTAGGGCACTGGGAAGTTGTGTAAGCAAGTCATGATTCTGTTTTTTTTTCTCTCGCAGGCCGAGTTATATACATACCGTTGTACATATAACTAAACGAAGTACAAAAAAGGGTTAATTATACGGTAAAGTATAGTTGAATGTTAAAATCAATTGGTTTCAATTTTCATACAATGAGGCCCAACTAAGATAAGTTTGATTTTTTTTTTAAGAAGTACAGAAAGTGAGAGAAGAGAGACAGGTAGGAATGAAATTAGAGAGAAAATAAAGGTTAAACAGACAAATTAGAAAAACGATAAATAGAAAAATAATAAAGAATAAAAGAATAGAGAGAGATATGGATCACTGGGAAAAAATCTACAGATAGATAGATAGTATACAGGGAAAAGAGAGAGAGAGAAAGAGAGAGAGAGAGAGAGAGAGAGAGAGAGGGAGAGAGAGTGGGAGCGAACGGGCGAGATGAAGGGACCGAGAGAGATAGAGATATTGATAGAGTGTGGGGATTATAGAGAACAAAATTGTATTGTAAGAAACACCCCACACTCCGTATGATTGTACGACTGCACAAAAATCATGAGAAAAATGATAAATGGATAGAAAAATAGAAAGAGAGAAAGGGAATGAGAAAGAGAGAGGTAGAGAGAGAGAGAGAGAAAGAGAGAGAGTGAGATTAGTGAAAATTAGTGATATTAGTGAAATTCTTATATTATTGTATATATGTTTTTGTTCGCCGTTCAAATCCCACACTCTGCATGGCAGGACAACAACCAACAGAAACAGGATAAATATATAAAAGATAGAACGAGGGAGGGAGAGAATGTTAGATTTGTAGAATGTGATGTTTTAGCGAACAAAACCAATCAGCCACTTAGAATGTTGTTCACTAAAATATTTGTAAGAAGTAGTTTTGTTAAAATATTTGTAAGGTTTGTAAAAGCCTGTTTTTTTTTCCAAACGGCACACTTTTCATGATTGTCCAGCAAAGAAAAAATGAAAGAGAAAGAGAAAAAAATAGAAAGATGGATAAATAGAGAAAGAAAGAAAGAGAGGGAGCGAGAGAGAGAGAGAGAGAGAGAAATTTAAAAAATTGTCGTTATAAGATCTACATAAATTGAGAAGATCAACAAAAAATTATTATTTATATGAAAGAAAAAGAGATTTATATGAGGGCAACAGTTCATTTTTCGGCATACTTGATTAATAAAATTCCTCAAATTCTTTTATGAATACTGCAATAAAATAGTAATTTAAATTTACCTTCCTCGACGGACTTAACCGACTTAAGTGGTACATCATGCTCCAAGGCTGTCCTCTGTACGTTTACTTTGGCATTTGTTTCACCTCTAACTCCTGTAACAAAAACGCTGTCTATCTGTAAAACTCACGCACATAAAAGTCTTAAAAAGCACTTGGAAATAAATTGAACAAGAAGTAGTTTTCAAATGATGATATTAGGATTATAATTTTTCAAGTTTCTTAACAATTCATTTTAATTAACCAACAAGATAGAAAATATATATACAAGTATTTGAAACCAATCGAACTGTTCAATGGGTGAAATTCAAACAAAAGGATTAAAGTTAAAAAAGTTCGCTTTTAATTTATATAAGAGTCACGCTGATAATTCTGAGTTTATTGGCATTTAGTATAGTAGTTCTGGATTTCGGTTTGGCACGCATTACCACACACGTACATAACGACACAATTAACACGGACATGAACAGACGTGGAATGGGAGTCAACTGTACTAATCCACTAACCCTGGTCGGCCGGTTACACTCGACGAATTTCAATTGGCACCGGCACGATTTGAAATTTTGGCCATGAACCAAAGAGAAAATAAAATGTGTAATGGCGTCCATAAATAACGAACAACATAGCTATTGTGATAAAGACACGCTGGAATATTTGCTAACAAAATTACAATAACAATTAAGTACTGTTTTGAGTGGTCTGTTTTGTGAATATTTGCAACCTTTTTGTTTTTAAACAACAGTCATCCATTAATATAAGTTAATAAAAATAGGTAAATTAAAAGAAAATAAATTTCTACCTATCGACGACTCTCTGATATATCAAAATATTTATATTATTTAGAGTAAAGAAATGGTTTTCTTTAGATTAATGAAACGTTGTATTTTTGTTACATTTATTTTAATTGTTGAGATGAATTTGTAGTTTGGTCGTTTCTGTATTACTACCCGCTGGCCATTAACCAGCGAGAATAGGAGGACCAGAATAATCCAAAAGGTAGTCTTCAGTAAACGAGTAAATCACAATTAAACTTAATTGTAAACATTTCGCTTTATGCGCAAATAAGTAATTTTTTACCAGCATGACTTATATTTACGAATCTCCGATATAATTTGTGACCAACCGTCACCATTAAAATTTGTATTAGCCTCATTTCTGAACCTTTTAAAATAAAATTTTAAAAAAATTTAAATTTATTTGCACAATCGACACAAATTGTACAAAACGATTCTCATACAGTTAGGTTTTAGAAAATTAAATATTTCAATTATCTTATAAATGCCAATTTTTTTTTATTTGATAAACAATTTGTCTTACATGTTATTCTTTGGAAATTAGCCTGTATTTTGTTTTACAGTTGTTGACCAGACGATTAAAAAACTATTATTTTGTTAAAATTGCACAGAATATACAATTTTTGCCTTAAATTTTACTTGGTAAATTCAACTTACTTTATAACAAAATAGTAATTAATATAACATATAATTATTCATAATTTGTCGGTTTTGTGTTCAAATAACTTTACATCCATGTAAACATGTCGAGGAAAATGAGGAAAAATCAATATATTATACAAATATTAATCATCGATAATTTATCCGTTATAAAAATTTCTCCTTTTAACAAATCAAACCTTATTTTCATATTATAACGTTTATTTCACAAAAATGTGAGTAATAAGTAGCGTGACATTGCTAACGACAAAATTCGGATGGGGCAATTACCAAGTTAGCAGTACAAAAATAGTTTCATCAAAACATTAAAATCCTACTACTTTCCGACTTCTAGAAACATTGTTATTAAGTTTTTAAACATTAATACATTAAGGTTTAACTTGGCACGTTTGCACTGACCACGGCCGAAATGCAAGTATGCAACGTAAACCTGATGATGGAGGGCCAATGATGGTTATTATTTATAATTTATTTATACATATTATAAAAGTTGTTAATTTGTTGCTGGTATTTATATTTAAAATCTTCTTCAATAATTGACTAATTAATAAAAGTGATTAATTAAAGCTGTATAAGGAACATACATACATCTTTTTAATTCTCAGAACACCGCTGGATACTCTTAAAGAAGAATACAAATAAAAACTTCTTAAAAGTTTTCTTATATCATTTCTTTTTATTTTTATTATTTTATTTTTATTTTATTTTCTTATATTTTTTTATATTATTTCTTAGTTTTTCACTTTGATCGATATTAGAAGTACCGCACCTCACGATCTCCATATAATCATTAGAAGTTGCCTCAGTGTTATTTTAATAAGTTGAAATAATATATTTATATTTGCTTCATTTTATTACAATATTTTAAATCATTGATCTTGTCATTGTCTAAAAGTTGAACAAAATAATTTCAAAATTTATGTTATGCATATATGTTTTGAAATATTATGTAAAAATAAATGAATTACATGTAATTTGTTACCTATTGCGATGGTGAAACCGATTTACAATCCACAACAATGTTTAAATTATGTTTTCTACTTCGTTTATGTCGAGATATATCATTTATCAGTTTCTTGGCTCTTTTGTTCCCCATAGAGATCTTTCGTTTTCAGATAATAAGAATAGGTGTTAGTGTGTATGTTTGAAAGTGACTGAGAGAAAAAGTATGAGAGAGAGAGAGAGAGAGAGAGAGAGAGAGTGATAAAGAGAGCGAGAGATTTATAATTTTAAGGGTCAGGATCCGTGCAAAAATGACGCCGTCCAAGGCCGTTTATGCTAAACCATCAAGACGCTGAGGGTTTGCAGAATGTATAATGACGTCGCCGTTTTATTATATCAATTTATTAAGATTTTACAATATTTATTGCTGTATTTTTTTATTTTTTTTACTTTTTATTGATGTTGTGGAGTGAAATAAAGTTATATAATTATTTTTTAATCTAGACGTAACGAATTACTTTTTATTTCAATTTGAACAATTATATTCTTATCCTCACTGCTTTTTATGTTATTTTCTTGTAACGGTTTAACGATGTTGTGCCAACCAGTAAAATCAAATGTAAATTTGACTAACTTTTACAGGATAATTTAAAATTTTTTAAATGAATTGCGGTACTGTAATAAAAAGCATGAAATAATACAAGCTGACTTTATTCCATGATGCAGAACATCTTACAAATTCTTCAATTATTATAATAGTTTTTACATTAATTTTCCATTATTTATTCACTATATTATTGGTGTGCGGATATTAAAATATAATTTAAAAGGTTTATTTTCTTATTTTTTCTTATTTGGTTTATTTAACCTACGTTGGGGCATCAACTGCATATTGTCATCCTAGGATATTTTATAGTGTATAGTATTGTAATATACATCTTTTTTAGAATTGATCAGTAAATTCAAGGCAAATGTGATGACAAATAAAGTGAACAGAAGTATTGAGATTGTTATTATTTCATGATTTTGTATGTTTTACTTTTAAATTGAAAGAAGAAATGAAAAGCAAGCCTACCTTCTTTACTATTTAAAACCAAATGTAGTACTTGTAGTACACATTACAATGCAAATTGGGTTTTAAGTGCTAGTTTTCTTATGTTTTCTTTTATAAGTTTCAAACGCTTGAGTGACAATGGGAATATAAACGTATGGGGCAATAGAAAGCAAAATATTCCAATATTTTTGCCCAATCATTAATACCTGAAAAATAATGTTATAAACGTACAGATTATATGTTATTTATGATTTAATATGAATTATTGTGTTACTTCTCGATGTAAGTCAGGGCATCTGGCTAACAGGAAAGTTAATAACTTAAAATGTCATAAACATTACTTTGTTCTTTACTAGCAATATTTGGTTAAGACATATTCAAATTGAGAAGATAAATGCCACAGTTTCCATGCTCTTTTTTACAATAAACATGGGTGAATAAGTAATATCAGGGTAATAGTGCTTTCTTTCTTTTATTTGTCTTTCTACCTAGTTAAAAGAGGTGAGATTTTTTTTTAAGTTTTCACAAATAAAAGTTATAAAATTTATTTAACTTGCGTTACTCATCATTATTTACTTCAAAGATTAAATTAGTATATTTGTAAGTTTAAAAAAACAAATCAGGTGTAGCTCATTTGTTACTTATTTAAATAAAGTAACAAGATAAATTTTAAAAAGTTCATTCAGGAATATTAAATATTATGAATAGTCTTATGAACAATACTAAAGACTGTTGAATTTATTTAAAGATTTTGCCTTTGTGAACTACTGTATACTTTAGTCAAACATTCTTAGATTTTATCAAACCCTATCATTTGGTTGCAAACTTATAAAAATTACTGATTTTTCCAATTAGATTATTACATTTATCAATATATACGCATTTAGCATCTGTAACTGAAAATACTAATTATTTAAATTAATTATAAATTTTATCTAAGGCTCGTGACACTACACATTAAATTGTTGTAAATTATTCACATTTAGAAGACCTACAATGTTCACAAGTTACTTCAATATAATGTGAATTTTTTTACTTTTTTGAATAATAATTTTTAAACCTACAATTGTGTAATGAGAAAATAAAATGTTAGGTTTCAAATATATGCTAGTTTGATTGAGCATGGAAGTGTGGATTGAGTTGAAATATCTCTGATAAATTTGATTATATAATACTTAATAATACCTCTCAAAAAACTTTAGCTTAGATTGACGCTTTCCTTAAATTGTCAGTTAATTATATGTTACTTAAGAGTAGTTTGAATTAGTTTTGTTGGTATTCATCATTCAATAAAGTAGTTGGCAACTTTTGGTTTGCATAACTGTCAGGCAAAATCGTATATTTGTTCAGAAAAACACATAATATTAGTAACACAAGACGAAGGAAAATTTAATTAAAAGAATGGAATGTTAATTCATGTTAGTGAGTTTTTCAATTTACGTACGGTTATAAATCACTTTTGGCAATTTCACTAACATTTTCCAACTTGAAAATATGTATTTTTTTATTGAATTTTTAAATTATTGTTATTTAGATTTTATCTGTGTGTTCTTTCGTGAGTGATGTTACTTAATTAAAAGGCAATATGTCACCGGTGGAATATTTCGAAAACTTTTATATCAACACTACATCAATTTTAAGGGCACTTTGTTAATTTTTGGACGATCAGATTGTTAATTTGAAATTTAAAGTTTTTCCTTAAGAACTCAGTTATTAATGATATGTTGAGTTGAAGTTTCTGTTGACATAAAACGGTTCGTAGTTGTCTTCTTGTAGCTCTAGCCTAATCAAAGTTGTCGAAGTTTTTTATCATTAAGAAATTAACACTTACCTCTTTCCGCCAAGAGAAATAGAGTGATAACAAGCAGTACGAGTGTCGGACGCATGACTGACGAACAGAAGTCAAATGAAACCGTGATATACCAGCAATTTTGGCTGGGAGCCATCGGGCCAGTTCACGTATAGGCTGTTCCCACACCTTTACCCAATGCGGCTGGACAGCCTACTTCTGGACGTTATCACGGTTCCGGCAGCGTACCGACAGGAAAATTTGACCGGACGTGTGTAAATTTAACTATTAGGCCAATAAGGAACGCTAAAAAAAGTAAGGATTTGGAAAACTGTCAATATGAAAATTATGGTTTTTCTGACGTATATTTTTTTCTGTCAGTACGACTAAAAACTGTCAGTTTTTCCTTTTGAAAAGTGGACAATTTTTTTAAAAAGATAGTTCCTACTCACAGTTAGTTGTTTCAAACGATCTGGCTTTCAAGCTTATAGCTCATCATCAAGTTGTAGAATTCCTTCAACTTTATGATGAGCTAAAAGCTTGAAAACAACTGTCTGTGAGTAGGAATTATCTTTTTAAAAAGAACGAACAACCCACCATTTATCATTACTAATAGAACAATTGGTGTATTTACTAAATTTTATAACAGTATCCCTAGCCCACATGCAACCTGATTCACATAAAAATCTTACTTTTCCAGATGCCCTATTGTCTGGCTTTCATCGTAGGATGATTGTACCTCGTTATAATTTGTTAAAAGTATGAGATTAAAGATTTCATTTGCATCAATTATCATAACAAATATTATGTCCTACGACATTTTTTAATGTTGAACTCGATTATTTTTAAAAGGAGGGAGAGAGATTTGGGATAGTGATTAAATTCCAGTGAAAGAAATCAGTTAAAAGAGACGTGCCGCCGCTTTTCACCGTCGTGCATGTAAATTGTTCTAATATATGCCATCTTTTAAACACCCATAAAATATACCGATATTTGTCTAATTTAACAAAATGTAAATAAAAACTCTAAATATTAAAATAATTATATAAACAACAAGTGTCCTTTTTGTTCAATCACATTCAAAACGAAGTAAATATAATTAAGAAGCATAGTTTTAAATTTTCAAAGTAGCAAATACGATTCTACTTAATTTAATTAAAAATTTTAAAAGAAATATAAATATCCTGCTTAATTGAATTTAAAAAATAAAGTTGTATTTTCCGAACGTTAGTAATGTGTAATTAAAAATTACCTGAGGCACTCACTCATTTAACCCATTAACTAGGAATGTTTCAATAAAATAATTTGCATTTTGTGCTTATATATATATGAATCAGTCGGTTTTCAAGGGTAAAGAAAATTGTAAAAATTATATCGTTTTGAGTTTACACATTTCGGAAAACTTCTTTTCTAGGTTTTTCTACTCTGTTCTCCTGACCCCGATTAGAATAAGAAACGTGTGCTGAAGGCATTTTTGTGCCAGTGTATTAATGAGCCTGTGACCCAGATCCGTCGTGTCAACTTAGAGAGTGATAAGTCTCATTGTCCGAATGCAAAATCCGAGCCTCCACCGCGCTCAGCATCTATCTGACTCATTCGGTGAAACCGGCTCCTCATCGAATTTCGACTGAAAGCGGGACTCAGAAATTTTTTCATAATTAAAACTTTAAAATCCGAAAGGAACAATCTCTAAAAGTTTTTATGTTTACATTAAATCAAAAAATAATGTGAACTATGAATGTATCTATTTTTAATACATATTTTTTGTTTTACACAATGATTGTTCTGAGAAAACTAATAACAATCAGTAAAAACTGAATAATTTATAAAACCTTAACAACTAGACTTTGTCTTTTAAGTAATAGCTAAACTTTGCGGACCTTAAGAATGTTGTAATTTCCAAAGAAGCAAATTTGAGGTCGAATTTACATTAAGCAAATAGTTATATTATTTCCTAAATCCAGCATATTATAGACAATAGAAAAGAAAAATAATATGAGAAATTTAGAATTTTTTACAAACCTTAGAGACCAGACTTTCATAATAAATGAGAATCGGAAGGTTGCAGGCTTTATTCATTTAAAATTTTTACAAAACATTTATAAACAGCTTCACATTTATCTTAAACAAAATAGTTAAACTTGACTAAACAAATGGAAAATAAAAAACAAAGCGGATTTTCCCTAATTGGCAATACTTTTCAATTAATTAATCTTTAATTATGGTTTTGGTTGAGATAAAAAGTCAGTGTCACGAGCAGGATTCGAACCCACGACCTTCGGCTAAATACGCCGTTGCTCTATCACTTGAGCTATCGTGACTTTGATCCACTCGGACATCGAAGTCGATAGCTCAAGTGGTAGAGCATCGGCGTATTTAGCCGAAGGTCGTGGGTTCAAATCCTGGTTGTGACTCTTTTATCTCAACCGAAACCTTAATTAATTGAAAAGAATTAATTTTGTCAAGGACCACGAAACCTAATAGATGTAATTGGCAATACTGTTGGAGTTACATTAGAGCATGAATATAAATAATTGTAGTTTTCTGGATATCCTTGAAAATTAGGATGAAAGTCATGTTGGCCGCTTGGTCCAGGGTATGATTCCTGCTTTGTGCTTTATAATGACCTCCCAAAACCCTTCTTTAAAACAGAATATCCAACAAATTCACGTTCCATAAGATACTATTGTCATACCCAATCACTCAATTAATGTGCTCAATCAACTCAATTCATGTTTAACACATACCACCCCTACAATCTCGTCAGGAGACTGAATCGAAGATGGCCCCTGGACTTTCTAATCAATGGTACAGCTCGGAGAGTAACAACGGTTGAATGAAAAAATATTGCAAATAGAATAGATGGTAAAAAAAGATCAAAGACAAATTTTTGTATTCTAGTAAATGGAAATAATCAGAGCTGCATACACATAAAAATAAAGAGCCGCTCCGGGATTTGAACACGGGACCTCCTGCACCCAAAGCGGGAATCATACCCCTAAACCAAGCGGCCATGCGTTCATGAACAGCCCACCGAGTACACACCGATCATTGATTAATTTAAATCATTTACGGTAAGTACAAATATCCTATTTTTAAGAAAAATCGTACAAATACATAAATGTAAATATTTGCTGAATTAATTTCAAATTTCATCATAAAATTGCTCTTAGTACAACAGTTATCGATTCAAACACTATCAGAAAATTGTCCAAAAAGATTGAACGATTCGCTATTAGAAAATATTTAAATAATACAATATTGTTGTAGATGTTGATGACAAAATAATTAACGTATTTATAAATAAATAATCTATTTTATTCTCTCTCACGATTTAGCTCTTTTGTTTTACTCTGCTTCAATTTCTCACAAAATTTTTTATGACACGATATAAGGCATCGACGCCTCTTTTAGGAATGTAAATAAACAAGGAACAAAAAACAAACACTTATATACAAAACACACAACTACAAAACGGAAAATAATTAGGCAAAAGTAAAATTAAGGCCGCTCTGGGACCTCCTACACCCAAAGGAAGAAGCCTTTTAAAATTGTTTTTTAGATAATTTCAAAGATTAACGGAACTTTTATAAATGAAAATAATATTTCGAATTATTTATGTTTTGGAAAAATTCAAAATCTATTAATATTGTTCTATTTTATGGATTACAAAATTATTTTCTTATTGGATAACTATCAGCGTCAACTGTCAACCATGGAGCGTACAGTTTTATAATTTTATTTTCCACACATTCAGTGTTAAATTTCACAGTTCACAATAAGCAACGAGGTTGACATTTTTCTTGGGTGTAACAAAGCAGCCTTTTATGTGTTATCAAGAAGTCTTTAAAAAAATCTCTGTACCGTGTCATAACATGTTGACGTATTTCCTACATTTGTCTGTATTTTTACAACTTCTACCATTGTAAAAAATATTTTGTTTGCTTAGAAGTTGACCTTATGACCTAAATTAATAATTATAATTGAGAAAAACATGTTTTATATTTTTTTTAAATAAATTGTGCAAAAAAAGTGTTTTTAAATATCTTTAATACACGTTCTGGAAAATGTACATGAAAAGAGCCGGACTTTTAACCCTCTTAAACCCACTTTTCAAAACTTCTGTAATTATTGATTTTATTTTTTCGATATAATATTATAGAATAAACAAAAGTAATTATAAGGAATAAAATAAAAAAGAATCAAACGGATATGTTCCATAGTTAGGGAGAAAAAAAGTTCGGATGCGGTTTCCCCTTAAGTCGATTGAAATAAATATTAATTGAGGTTTTTATTTATATATTTTTATTTTGTTTAGAACAATGTTTGTTCATGAAAAGCTCAATCTTTTATTATTCCTTCTTTTAGAGAAAATTATGAATTTCGTATTGCATAATTTTTAGAATTAGTGGATTAGGGTTATTTTTTTAACAAGTCCAAAAAACGTCTAGATGTTAGTTAGTATCTTTAGTTATCTGTATTCTCCCACGATTTTCAAATGTATTTTGTTTGCTTTGTGCTTTATTACCACAACTATTCTATATTTAGAAGGAAATGTGTTTTAGAAATTGTTTTTTAGATAATTTCAAGTTTTTATAAATGTTGATAGTATTTATAATTGTTTATGTTCTGAAAAAATACAAAACATTAATATTTTTCTGTTTTATAGATTAAAAAATAAGAATTTACCATTGCATAATTATCACAATCTACTGTTAACCTTTGAGCGTATTGTTTTATAATTTTACATTGAAAAGTTGACTAAAATAGTTTTGAATAATGTCACTTGGATATATTTAATTTTGCAGGTTAAATCAATAAATGGAGCAAACAAAAGAACTAAACATATAAAACAATGGTAATATTTTATTATCGAATAAATAGTACAGTCGCGTAATGTTTTTCACACTATTCAACAACTCTTAGAGTTTACACAGGCGTCATTTCAGACGAGAATAAATTAGGTAGAAAAAAATAAATTAGTTGTTTTCTTGGAATTTGGCAATTTTTGGGGCCTATTGGCTGTTTGACTCGACAGCCGGAATTTGAGCGGAGTAGGCTAGGTCGTGAGCATGTTCCATGCTTCTTCTGTAGGGTCCAGTGCCGCCTCCGTAGGACGAGGACCAGCCTGAAGAACCGGAGTTCCAGTCGGGTTGGACCTGCAAGTTTCGTTTCATTTAATTATATTTAAATGTTATTAATTTTTTTTTAATTTTACCTTTCCGAAACTGCTGAGCCCACCGCCACTGCTGCCAGATGCGAAGAATTTCTGGAATGCTAGAACGGCCGCTAGAACGAAAGCGAGTTTTCCAACGAAAAGTGCTTTAAGAGCCATGAGGCCGACGGCTCCGAGGGCGAGGGGCAGAAGAGTGACCAATTTGGCACCGACGAGCATAAGTAACGGAAGGACCTTCTTCTTGAGTTTGGCACGTCCTGGTTAGCAAACAACGTTAAAAATTTCAGTTTTTTTTTTTTTTAACTTTAAGTTCAAATAGTTTTACCTTCATCAAGAGCGCGTTGGAACGATTCTGGAGCGTCTTGGGGCATCCTCAACTGGAGGGAGTGCGATTGCAAAAATCTCAGCGCCGAGTCGTAAGCCAAGTCGATAAGTTTGGAGCTCCTCTCTTCAGCGTTGGCCGGAAGTGATTCCTCGAGTTGCTGCGGTGTCAGAAGAGCCCTTCCTGCTCTGAAGTCGTTTTCCTTTACAAGGGTGATCCCGGAGGCGAGCTGGATGTCGGCCATCCTGGACGCCCTGTCCATGGCCGCGATGGCCCTCACTCCCAAACAACTCACGACATCTTCCCTCGAACTACAATCACCAGCGTCTTCGACCCGGTTGTCGAGGACGGCACCGATCGCAAGTGCGGGAAGAAGAACGAACAGGCTGAATGTGTACATGACTCGGACTTGTGAACGACTGATGGCCAACCCTCCTACTCTGCAGCTTTTATACCCCGCTCCATCCGTCAAGCGAAAGCTGGTAAACAAAGACTCACCCTCTGTACCCCTCCACTGGCCCCGGTCTTTTCGGCCATCAATCATTAACATTAATAGAATAAATTCACTTTTATTTCGTTATACTCTTATTTTACGCAATTGTCTTCACGGTAAATTGCATTAAAAATATAAAAACTAAATTATCTCTTCTCATATTCAACGTTTTTGGTAAATTGTTCTCCCGGATAGGCTAAATTAACCAATCTTTATGAAAATAACCAAATTTGTATAATAAATTAATAATTTGAAAACATTTAATCAACTACATATTTTGATACAAAATAATTAAAAACTCAACTTTTAGGATTTTTCTTGACAGGATAAAAGGAGAAAGATATTACCTGAAGTGTTACAAGTAAGGAAATAGACCTATTTTTATTTCAATTAGTTCCAAAGTCAGTTATTTGTTAATTATGACAATTCTGATGCATTTTATCTCAGCGCAGTCATCGTTAGCCATGCGCCAATATTGTGTTTGTGATGACATGATTAACATGGTCCACGCTTGATTAAATTTTTTATAGATTGTTTTCTTTTAATGACGTTTTTGTACACAGATTACCACCAACTGTTAAAATGTGAAAAATGCTGTAGATTTTTGGATTTTTCTTGGCAGGTTAAAATAAGAAAGATATTACTTTAAGTGTTACAAGTAATGATATGGACATCTTTTTATTTCAATTAGTTCCAAAGTCAGTTATTTGTTAATTATGACAATTCTGATGCATTTTATCTCAGTGCAGTTATCGTTAGCCCAAGCCAATATTATATTTGTGTGTAATGACATGATTAACATGATCCACGGTTGATTAAATTTTTTATAGGTTGTTTTCATATAATGACGTTTTTGTACACAGATTACCCTAACTGTTAAAATGCTTTAGATTTTTGGATTTTTCTTCGCAGGGTAAAAGAAGAAAGATATTACCTTAAGTGTTACAAGTAATGAAATGGGCATATTTTTATTGGATTTAGTTACAAATTTAGTTATTAGTTAATTATTACAAATCTGATGCATTTTATCTCAGTGCAGTTATCGTTAGCCATACGCCAATATTGTGTTTGTTTCTAATGACATTATTAACATGGTCCACGTTTGATTAACTTTTTTGTAGATGTTTCCGAGTAATGACGTTGTTGTACATAGATTACCCCAACTGTTAAAACTCTATAGATTTTTATTCGGAAAATAGAAAATAGAACTTAGAAATCATACTAAACTCTGTGGTATTTTTTCGGCAATTTTTAAAATATTGACTCTTTACGTCTTGCAAGGTAATCTGCCATCACTTTGGACTAGTGTTCACGGATGGTGGAAAGCCGCACAAGTGATCGTCGTTTATCTTTTTTTCAAAGTCATTTTCAACAGACGAATCAAGAAATATCTTGTGTTAAACAAGCATGGGCCAAAGTACCAAGAAGTGGCAAAAGAGAAATTTTTCTTTTCCTTTTTGGACTAATAATTTTCTATACAAGTTCAGTAATATTGAATCAAGAATTCTATCACGATTTTTCGATTACATTTTTAAATTGTTGAAGAACATAAGATCAATGTTCAATGGTAAATGTTTTATTTTTATTATGAATATCATTAATTTTTTCCTGTTTGTTGGTTCTATGTGGAGACATACACATTAAAGTCCTGTTCATCCAATATATGAAAATTACAAAATATTCCTCTACCTCCTCCCTTTTAACCTTTCTTATTCTCTCTCCCTCTCTCTCTCACTCCCTCTCACCCGCTCTCTATTTCTCCCTCCCACTCTCTTTCTCACCCTCTCTCCCTCCCTCTCCCTCACACTCTCTTTCTCTTTCTCCCCTCCACTCTCTTTCTCTCCCTCTCTCTCCCTCTCACTCTCTTTCTCTCCCTCTCTCTCACTCCCTCTATCTTTCCCTCTCTCCCTCTCACTCTCTTTCTCTCCCTCCCTCTCTCCCTCTCTCTTTTCTCACTCTCTCACTCACTTACTTTTTCTCTCTATATCTTTTCTTTACCATAAATCTTCACTTTAACGTAGTCAACCGACAATACAATTGAATGATCTAGTTTTGATTTTTTGTCATGTCAAAGTATGATGTATTGCGGGATGAAATATTTTCTGTAAATTTCTGTTTTGTTCCTTGCCCTTACTTCCCTGTTATTGTGGGTCAGTTATTTGTACACCTATTTTTAACAGAAGTACAACTCAAACCGGCCGGCCGACAGGAGGGCATCGACTGTACCGAAGAATTACACCTTTAATGGGCTGAGACTGTGTCAGGGTTGAGGGCCTAACGGTTCAAGGGCTCTTCCCTCTCGAATTATAACATGCTTTCATCTGAAAGTCGATAGAGATTAAAGGAAAAAAAATAAGAAGAAAGAAGAAATAGAAGGAAAAAATGAGAAGAAGATTTGACCGACGTGGGCTTTCGGTTTTTAATTCTACATTATGAAGCCGTTAATTCACTCTGGCTTCAAAAGATATTGTAAAACCTGAAGTATACTATTCATTTCTTTTTTTTTTCTTTTTAGCTGACATCGTACAGTATTAGATACAATGGGTTTTGAACGGAATGACGGTTACAATGGGTAATCCTAAACTTGGGAAAGTTCTGTGTCCAGTCCTACGCTTCTCATTAAAATTCGTTAAATTATTGCTTTAAAAAAAGCAAAACCGAAAGCTCTCACTGTATACGTGATCATTGCGCCTAAAAAAGGCTATTTATCCCCTATCTTAAATTTAGGTTGACGCTGTCCATTTCATTATTCAAATATGGATAATAGATTGTTTCTCATTGAGATTTCATTTATAATGTATAATTAATAAAGTGGAGTTGAATTTAAATGTGGTTCCTCCTGTTTAGTTATTACGGAGGAATACATTAAAATCCCTAACTAGAAAAACAGGCTGATTTGTATGGATTTGCACTGCATTTATAAAGTCAAATTACTAGAAATTGAGTACAACAAATATTAAATTGCTGTTTTTATAGGTCCTATTATTTACTAATACATATCATATTAAAAGTGAAAAAAAGTTCAATAAGAAATGGAAAAGATACAGAAAGTAAAAATGTAAAATGGAGAGATAGAATGAGAAAGAGAAAAAGAGGTACATTTTCTATTTATTCATTCGATATATACTAACATTTTAAAAGTATTAACAGTATTACAGGTGATAAAAAGAGAGGTTCATAAAGAAGAAAATACCAAATGTAGAAACGGACAGAGAGAGAATGAGAGTGAGAGAAGGGGAAAGAGAGAGAGAAAAAAAATAAAGAGGATGTTTAATTTTGTTTGCACAACCAATATACAAAAACATTTTATAATGATTTACTGTGTCGTATCAAATGTGATTAAAAAGGAGTTGATAAGGACAAAATTTCAAAATATAGAAAGTTACAGAGAGCGAAAGAGAAGAAAGAGAGTAAGATCGGGAGAGTGTAAAAGAGATAGAAGATTGATTTATTTGTTTTTACAATCGATTTTTAGTAACATTTTACATATATTTGCAAAGACTTATCAAATCTGAAAAAAATATTTGTGAACAACAATAAAATGGAAAAGTGAGAAAAATCCTCTAAGAGTGGACAAGGCAATATATGATAACATTTAAAAGCATTTGCTAGATCCTATCAAAAGAGATAAAAAGAAAGATTAATAAAGAGCAAATAAAAATACAGAGACAAGATGAGAGAGAAAGAGAGTGAAAGAGAGAACGGGAGGGTAGTGAGAAGAAGCAAGAAGGAGACAGAAAATTAGCCACTTTATGTATATTTACAATTTTTAGAACTGCTATATTTAAAAATAGATATTTTTATGAATAATAGCTATCAAATGTAATTACGTTTTATAGGTTTTTACAATAATATAACATATCACTAATTTAATGAAATAAACTCTTTATTTGGTAATTGTAGCGTTTTATAATTTTATTTTCTGAGGATGGCTGAAGATGAGGTTTATAGCTCGAAATCTCTAAATAAATTAAACTACCGCGGAATGCCTGGTATCTTTCAAACTTAAGTTTAAAAAAATCGTTTTGTGTTTGTTTGAGTATTACAACTTTTGCAATATTCTTAATAATATATTGTATATGTTTATATGATTTCATCTGTGAATATATAAATGGAAAACCGTCATAGAAATCCTCTCATCAATACAAAAAACTCATATTATCTAAATCAAAGTTCAAAGGGACTTGATTTCTCAAAAGGCAAGGCTTATATGTTATCATTGTATTGTTTAAAGCCTTAAGTATGTACATATATTAACGGGTCACACCCTCAGATGAGACCTTTTGACCTCGTTTTCCTTCTGTTTGCATATTTTCGTAATCAATTTAATAGATGGGTCGTAAAAAGAACTACTTATTGGCTCTTTTAGCACAATGAATCTAAAAAAACCTAGGCCTTAGGACGCATTTTGGTCGTTGATCTTTAGTACATTTTTTGGTGAAAGTTATCAATATAAATTGCTCTATTTTACCCCGTCTAAATTGAATTTTTTTAGTTTTTCATCTATTTCGTACTGTGTATGTTTATAATTTGACGTATTTTATAGTGTAGTGTTAAGTATGTCTTGTACGTTATGTGATATGTTAACGTTTGTATGTGTATGTGTAAACTTTATAGGATCTTATATCTCTTTATGGCTCGTGTATAATCAGTTTATTTTTAAATCCGATTTCCTCCTTAGTGAGAATGGGCTGTGAGTAATCGTAACACGGGGCTTTTTACGGTCTTCAACTTGCGCAACCTGGCCCCGTTATGGGTCGTCCTGGAGATCCTTTTCGTCACAACTTTCTTCAATGGACACTCACGACTTTCGTAGATAAAGGACGGATGAAGAGAAAAATATCAGCGTGTTAATGAGACCGTCTAACGTTGTTTTTGAGATAGGAATAAGAGCCGAGATCGAGGACATAGCCGAGAGATGAGTAAGTACATAGAAGAGACAA